ACTTCCCACTACGCATTGCTCTTATAAAGACTTCATGGGAACTTCAGAGCAAAACCATGGTTACAGCCAAGCTCTTTCTTCCCTGTCTGTGCCCATTCTGCTGCTCTGTTTTTTGTTTGTTTGGTTGGTTGGTTTGATTTGGTGGGACTGGGGTTTGAACTCAGGGCTTTGGACTTACAAAGCAGGCACTCTACTGCTGAGCCACACCTCCAGTCCATTTTGCTCTGGTTATTTTGGAGATGGGGTTTCTCAAACTAATTATCCAAACTGCGATCCTCCCAATCTCAGCCTCCCAAGAAGTTAGAATTACAGGCAAAAACCACCGGTGAGCCCAACTCACTGCTTTATTTATTGTGAAGCCTTCCTGGGAAAGATTCCACATGTCTCCAGGTAACATAGTTAATATCTTACAATTGAGGACTCAGTTTTATATTTAATTGAGGTTCACAACTGAGTACCATGCCCTCTTCTTCAATGGCATATAATTTCAATTTCTGCTCTTTTTCTTTTCTTTTTACAACATACACAGCCACCCTTGGGTTTTAAGATTTCTTACTCAATGGTGGATATTGTTTTCATTTCACTCTACAACTCATTCAGTTTCATAAGAAAAACATCAATAATCAAATGGAAAATGGGGTAAAGGCATAAAATAGCACTTACACAAGAGGAAATAAAGAGCATACTCTTTATTTATCACACATGGAAAAAATAGCTTTACTAGAGGCTAAGCAAATACAAATAATTGTTAATTAGTTATTTCTGCCATTAGCCTAATGACTCCCAGTGCTGGTGAGGTTGTGGTAAGATGACTCTTTATTGATGGGAGTATTAATTGGGGCAACCTTTCACAGCATTATGACGTTCATGTCAGGAGGCATACAAATAAATGTTCGCACACTTCAGCACTGTACTTTGATTCCTGGAAATTATCCAAAGAATGGGAAAAAGCAATAAAACAAAGCCTAGACTAAGGAGAATGTTGATTTCAGTGATATCTTAAAAATTATTAATAAGCCAGAAGGCAGTGGCTCACGCCTGTAATCCTAGCTACTAAGGAGGCAGAGATCAGGAGGATTGAAGATCAAAGCCAACCCAGGCAAATAGGTCATGAGACCTACCTCAAAAAAAAAAAAAAAAAAATCACAAGAAAGGGCTGGTGGACTCAAAGTTCTGGTTCGAAACCCAGTACCACCAAAAAAAATTATTAAATAAAATTTAAGAACAATTTAAATATTAAACACGAGAGAACCAATTGGACACGTCTGCCCACTGACTCAGCATACAGTACTGTGTGATCATTTAAAGTCATTAACCTGAATGTGGGCTATTATGGAAGTGTTTCTGTCAGAACATGAGCTACAAGAAACTAGAATACCAAATTGCATATTATAATGTAATTGTGAAAATTAATCTGCATAAGAACAAAACTGAAATATAGCATACAAAAATAAAAGTGTTCTAGTCTAGAGAGACTATAGAGCATTTTCCCCTTTTTAAGGTTTCTTTAGTGTTCACACACACAAATCTGAGTTCTGAGTGTGTCTTTTTTTTTTTTTTTTTGGCAGCACTGGGGTTTGAGCTCAGGGCCTCCCGCTTGCTAGGCAGACTCTCTACCATTTGAGCCACTCTGCCAGCCCCAAGGTTTTCTTTAATATTGGTGTTGTATTATTTTTATTGTTTAAAGGAATGAAATAAAAGAAAAGGGCAAAGGGAGTCTGAGCTCTGGATTGAGAATTAAAGAACTGTTTTCTTCTTTAAGATGTCTTATAAACCTTAGTTTCTCCATCTGTACAGTGGGTTAACTCTAGTGTCCTTTACCTAACTTCGAACAGAATGTTTATCTTAGAAAGCTTTTAAGTCACTGAATCAAGGGCTCATGAAAGGGTGGTCCTAGGAGAATGAGAGGCAGAAGGGAGAGAAAAAGAGAAATGGGCACTAATGAATTTTAAAAGGCAAGTCATCTGCTTTAATGGGAAATGCAGATGTACTGTGCTCCTAGTCAGAGTCATAAGTGCACTCCGTGTTAGTCAGCAACTCCACCATAATGTACTATGTGATCCTTTGGGCTTTGAAGATAGGAAGCCCCCATCCACACACATGAGCTAAAATTACTACCTCATCACGAGGATGTGTGCATTCGGAATAATCACACACACTAAGTGACTCCGGCTGATGGATTGATGATGTGTAAGAGCAGTGCCCAAACCACGTGATAAGGGATATGGCAAGACATTTTGAAAGGATAGTTTGATTTCCAAGCTCTCTGTAACGTGTGCTTTCTCTTTAGCCATTACAGACAAGTAAAGAAGATTTGATTATCTTGTTTCCTGTGAAAGGTTATTTAGCCTCCCAATCCCATTAAGTCACTTTCTGCACTCCAGTGCACCAGCCTTCCCCAGGTTATCAGCCCAGGGAGAGTAAATGGAGACACCAGGATCAGATTTCTAAAGGGAGCACAGTTAAAACAAAGTTTGAAAGGGGTGACAGCCAACAGCCAGGAGCTTAGGAACTCAATTACACCGAAAGACAACTATCTCATTATCTCCTTCCAAAATGATCTAAATACATAAGAATCTACAAGTTTTAAATAAACTTGTCCTACTGACTGTCTAGATGACTGAATTTCCCTTCTCAAAAAAATTTTTAAACACCCACTTTCGTATTTATTTATTCTAAGCGCAAAGCAGCACGATAATTATGCTGTCAGATTCAGTAAGCTAATGAGGAGTCACAGAGTGGAAGGGTTCCTATTCCTGAGACTGCTGGAGAGCAGCTCTGCAGCTTTTTCCTTCCTTCTCTCTTTTCTTTTCCTTCCCTCCTTTTTCCTTTTCTTTTTCTATGAGTTGGGAAGGAGAGACTGACAGTCTACAGCCAAATTGCAATCCTTTTGATTAACACTCACTCTCTCTCTCTTCTCCACTCCCCTGTCTCTTCTCTTCCCTACTGCTTTTGAGAGCTGCTACTTTTGAGAGGCAGGGCAGTCTCAAGGAAGTCCCAGCTTTCCATGTCACTGTCCCCAAGGCAAGAGGAGACTTGTCTCTAAGAGAAGCTCCAAAGACAGTTTGAATTTGATTTGATTTGAGAGTCGTCTGTAAAGTGTACACATTTTTTATTTCAGCTGTTTAACTATTTGTTGTGACATGAACTAAAAAAAAAGTAGGATATAGAAGTGCATATTATAACATTCCTGTGAAAGTGTCTTATGCATATCAACAAAACTTGATGCTGCCCCTTTCCCACTTAGCAAATATTCCAAAGCAAAGAACTCACAGCATCTAAGCAGAGGCCCAGGCCAGGAGAGGCAGGCCCAACATCCCATGTTTATTTCTTCCTTTGAGTGTGAGCATCATCCAGCACCAGTGTCATTAAGGCATTTTATGCTTATTTCTATGTCAAACATAGAAGCTTCTCTCTTTGTTCAGTTGTGAGATATTTTGAGCAAATCAGGTTCATGCAGATTGTGAACGCTGGAAAAGAAATGCCCAAGCCAGAGGATGCCCTGAGCAAATTTTGTGCATGTGCTTTGGTGACTGTGTGGTCCCTGCTTCTTGCTGTTCTTCCCAGATGACACCTATGCTGATGCTTGTAGCAATGGCCACTCTTTGTTAAAAGCATATTACATGCCAGGAACTACACAAGGTGTTTTGCATATGTTCACTTTTTAAACTTACAGCATTCTGCCAGAAAAATTTATTTTCCCCTCATACTGACAAGCCCCTTAACATACTAACTTCTGAAGAACTTGGTCCGTAGCTGTAGCTTAGTGGGCACTTAGAAACAACAGACCCTTAAAAAACACAGGCATTTACAGAAATGCAAACTGCCAGGGTGCATAGACATAGACCGTCCCCAGTTGACAATGGTTCAATTTAAGATTTTTTCACCTTCTGATAGTGTGAAAGTCATACACACTGAGCAGAAACCAGAGTGAACCCTCCATGCCCAGAGGTTCTGTGTCCTTAGGTTCTATCAATTTCAGCTTCAACCAACCACACACATTCATAAAAAAAATTTTTTTGTCTGTACTGAACATGTGTGGACTTTTTCTTGTCATTATTTCCTAAGCAATGCAGTGTAACAATGATTTGCCTAGCATGTGCAGTGTACTGGGTAGTATAAGTAATCTAGAGATGGTTTCAGGTTTAAGGAAATGTGCATAGGTTTTATGCAAATACTAGGCTGTTTCATATAAAGGACTTGGAGCATCTTTGGTTTTTGGTCTCCACAGCGGTCCTGGAAGCAGGGACCAAGGGATGACTGTACTTCAGATTTTGACTTTTGATCTTTTCAGTAGCTAGTGACAGTCTCTCTCCATTCTGGGCTGGTGTAGAGAGCCACAGCTCCCAATCACACAATCATGTACTGTGTGGCTAAGTTATGATGTTCCGTAGATTAGGTGTATTAAATGCATTTTTAATATATGATACCTTTTTGTTTGTTTGTTTGGTATTGGGATCAAACTCAGAGACTTAGGATAATGGGTTTATCAGGATATAACCCCACAGTAAGCTGAGAATCTGAACATGTGTAAGGATGAAGGTAGAATATATATATTTCAAATAGTTTTTTTTTAATTTATAAAAGTTGCATCTTAGAGTATATTTAAATAGATTGCTTAATCTTTCTAACAGGATTTAAAACTTTCCAAAATCTATCTAACCCAGCTTGATACTCTTTGCCTCTTTTAGGGGACTATAGTCCAGATTCACTGGCATAGCATTCATCCCTTCACCATCAGTTCTATCCTCTTCCCAACTTTATCCTTTAGTGTTCATTTGGTAAATAGGCATTGTACTGAACTAAACAGAAAGCACTTGACAACTATTAGTAGAGTAGGTAAAATGAGTCATCTCTCAGCCAGAATAAATTATTTATAAATAAGTTTGCCTGTTTTGATGTCCCTTCAGGTATAAATGTTGAAACAAGTATTTTTAAAAATATACTGGGAAAGATCCAGGAAATAATATGTTGATGCTTTTCTCTTTCCCTCTCTACAGAGGAGTCTTTGTTTACAGTTTCAGGAGTGAGGCTAAAGCCAGAAATGTGTGACCTTTTGGCCACCTACAGGAAGGGTCACCACCCAACCCGGTTTAGCAAATGCTGGTAAAAAAAAAAAAAAAGGGGGTGAGGTCGCCAAGATCTTTCCAGGTAAGTGATCCCAACAGAGAGGCTCCTTATAGACAGAAATGAAAGGCAATCACTGACAGTTGGACAGAATATTGCTTACCAATTCAGAGCACTCCTGTTCTGGGTCAAGGTTTTTATCCCCAACTCTAGGAACAGGTGGTCAAGCCTCTTCAGACCTCTGCTCCCTAAATTGGGAAAAAGGCTAACAGTGTGCATCACTGTCTCCTGCTCCGGGAGTGGTGGTAGAATCTAAGTCAGAACTTCCAGATCACTGTGATACCTTGACTGACATAGGTAAAATAAGCAGGACAACTGACATTGCTTTCTCTCTCTCTCTGTCTCTCTCTTTCTTTCTTTTTTCCTTTTTTGTGGTACGGGGGAATTAACTCAGGGTCTACACCTTGAGCTATTCCACCAGCCCTTTTTCGTGATGGGTTTTTTTGAGATAGGGTCTCTCAAACTATTTGCCCTGGTTGGTTTCAAACCAAGATCCTCCTGATCTCTGCCTCCTGAGTAGTTAGGATTACAAGCATGAACCACTGGTGCCTGGCTGCTTTCTCTTAACTATAGATTTCTCTGTCAGCTGACAAGAGAAAATCAGAAGAAAGGGTGACCATCAGTCTCAGTTGCCTAAGAGTGAGAGATTTTCTGAGGACTGGGACATTCAGTGCTGAAATTTGCACAATCCCAGGAAACCTAGATATTTGGTCACCTTAGTGGAGTAAATTATCCTCCAGGTAATCATGAAGAGGAAGGGGGCACTGTGGAGGGTTTCTCCAGATCTACCATACCCTAAAAGAAGTTCTGCTAGTGAGGACAGGAAGCCAGTTAGGACAATTCCAAAAGGCACCATAGTTCAGAGATCCCTAGGTGTCTCTAGAGCATCTCTCATACTGAGCCTTCTGTGGTGGGTGGAAGGGAGAGTATTCTAAATAGAAGAATCAAGGTGGAGCCCATGTGCAGGTCAGATGCACATGGTTCACTTTAGGTGACCCTGACCATATCCCAAACCACAGGCATTATATTGTGACTTGCCTACCCATTTGTAACCATAGATTGGCCATGCTTCCTAATAGAATTTGAAGGGCCTTGATGGTAGCCACTGGCACACTCCCTATATGTGCACCCCATGTCACTCACAGGATTCAGCTCTTTGCCGCTTTCTCTTGTATCCCTATCTTTGACTGTCACTATTTAAAAGCATATACACATCAAGGATGTCTGCCTTCTGGCTCTTCAACAATGATCTTGTCTTCAAAGAACAGGGAAGTTTAGACTTATAGCTCTTCCCCAGAGCATTTGATGAAATACATTAAGTTTGCATTTAACAATATACAATTGGAATTACAATTGGCAAAACAATTATATGGTATTCCCTAAGCAAAATTTTATGGTATTCCCTAAGCAGAATTTTTGCTGTTTGATTATGCTATTTCAAACCAACTAGTTATGAGAACAGGATGAACTTTAACTACAGTCTCTAAAGTAAAATGTTTGACCTTTATAAAATTATAAGCATTCCTATTATTTCTGATGTTGTTATATATTTTGTTTCAGGTAAAGCAGTCAGAAGGGAGGGAGATAATGCTGTCTTTCCGATCCACAGTGACCTTTCACAAAGAACTGTTACTTGTAGACATAAATTGGTCACAATAGAAAATCAATAAAATACAGTGAGTCAAGCTTGGTGCCCGAGCCAGCAACTGAAGGGAGGAGGCAGATAGAGCCTGTATTGGAGTAATCTCGTTATGTCCCTAGGCCTCAGTACTAAAGCAAAGAGATAAAACCAGTAGGAGATAAACCTCGAGAGGGGAAAGCTAGAGCAATTAAACTGTTTAATAAATGGCTTGGGATCTGTACAATCTGAGCGTGCCGGAGTTAAAGAGACTAAAAGCTGTAATCACACAGACACTGGGGGCCTGTAAATTTTTTCCACGGAATTGAATTGATGTTAAAATATTCACTTTTTAGGAGAGTCAGAATGTAAATTGGGGTGTTAGGACTTGGTAACTGGCAGTAATTCCTCAAAATTAAGACTCTTGATAGATCCTCAAAATGTCAGTTTTAGGCATGAAAAAAAATGTATACTGATGTGTACAACAGAGAAATGGAGAGGAACTGAAAAGCATGATGTGTTTTGAGCAGTGGTACACCCAGAGATATATTTTGATCATATTTAAAGTTTTCTCAGTTTGTATTACCAGGGGTTAGATGCCACTTCTCTTATACTTTGCCACTTTTTCATATATATAATTCCAGCAGTAACTTTGCAATAATGTTTAACAGGTTTTCCTTACTTGTCTGTACTCCATTACTCATTATTTGGATTTTGTTTATTCTTCATTCCCTTCCAGGGCTACATTCATGCTGCTTCAGTTTCCTTTGCTTCAGCTCACTAGGAAACTTCAAATCTAATTCCATACTGGACCAGAGGTTTTATATCATCCCCTGCAACCTGGAATATTTTAAACTTGATGCTCAAGGCAATGGTACATTATCATTGAAGATAAAGCAATGGAAGGTTATTGCTATTATCATCATCTAGAACTTAACAGTAATTGACTCAAAAATTGGACCTAGGCTAAGATAGTCTGAGAAGAGGACTTTTGAACAATTTCAGCCATACTGATGGATCCCCAGGCCAGATGGCCAGTTTCCCAACAGGACAGACAGGAGACTGACAACCGTAAGAATTGGAACCCAGTGCGGGTACTTACCTAGGCCTGTCACTCTTGTATTTACTTATAGTTTTCCCCAACAAAAAGCCTCTGTGGCAAGGAGAGGATTAGTCTAAGGTTTAGAAAAGTCTCCAGGAAAGATAGTCTCTTGGATAAAGTTGTCAACAAAAGGACTTGCCGAAGACTATTAGTTATGATTTCCTCTGGGGGTGCTTCTTCCTTCACTCACTGGATTATCAGAATGCATTACCACCCCACCTCCCTCAGATTTTAGGAGTTTGGACTGACTTGCTGGTTAGAATTAAATTTCAGGCTACTTCCTTCTACTGAATCCTTATTGTCTATGGTAATGTCAAAAGTGACAAGTAATCTAAATTCGCATTTGATGATGATGATATGGAGTTCCAAAAATGTGATTCAAGCCCTATTATACCAGCAGACATGCATGTGTGCACACATACCCTTCAAGTAAATGGAGATGTGTCTTGGCCAATACAAGGACCATTTTCTACAATGACTCCTTCTAAAAGAAGCCAGGAAACTCAAATTACTTCATCTAGGGATTGTCTCAGGAAATTCAGTAGCCTCGAAACCAGAGACTCTACCTCTTAGAACAAGGAGGAACCAATTAAGTGAAAATTAAAAAATGGTAACTGTCCACCCAGTGTCTGAGATGGAAGAAGAAAGATGCATACAGATAGTGTAAAGAAATCTATCTTAGTGAGTATTAGTAAGGCATCAGATAGAGCCTGTCCAGATGTACCTGAAAGGTGAAAAAGTATGGGATAGACCATGGGGCAGGCAGGTGGTGTGCTCAAAGAACAATGAGAGAGAGGTGATAGTGGTGTGGTACAGGGTTCAGACTTGAGTCTTGGTTGGGCCAAATACCTTTATTATTAATTGAATTAAATCAGAGAAGGTACACAACTTTTTCATACAACTCACTGAAATAAATACTATTTTTATTATTACTTTTATTTTACAAAAGAAGAAACTGAGGCTCAGAGAAGTTAAATATCTCCTCTGTGGTAGTATGCTAGAGATCAGATGCAAATCTCAGGCCTGGATGTCTCTAGTGTCTGTGATCTTTCCAATAACCACGTACAGCTCAGATTTGTAGGACATACAACTCTTGAAGAGGCAGCTGATCGTACCATTGGATGATTCAGAGGATTAAAAGATAATGAGTAACAAGCCAGAGCAATATTCATTCCTATCAAATTTTATCTGATTTAAATTCTTACATGTTGGGCTTTAAATGTCTACAACTTAAGTACGGTTGTGACAGTGGAAATTGGCACTTTAAGCACAATGTGAATTAATACTGTCATCTGGCTGTCCTCAAAAGATAATGCTAATACTGTTAGGTTACATAAATGACTAAGATGTTGTCCTAGGGAAAGGAAATAGCTAGCACTATACTAACCAGATCATATTTAAATTATTGTGCGCAACTCCACACTTCACATTTTAAAAGAACGATCACATTGAAATAAGCATTTATTGTGTACATATTGGTTTGCAGATATAATCCTGGGTAATCCTCTTAACAGTACTAAGACTTTAGTGCGGTGAGTTGCCATTTTACAGAGAACGTTAAGAATCAAATCTAAGTAGCTAGGGCTGATCCACAAACTTTGTTCCCAAAGTCTGTGCTTTCCCCAGTCCACCATCAACTCTGCTGCATGCTCCAAGGAGGGCTACCAGAGAAAGAGGCAGGTGGGCCAAGCCACAGGGAGTAGCTCCAAAAAGAGAAAGCCCAGGGAAACCTCCTTCCAGGGGATTGAGGTCTGTCTTGAAGCAAGGTGGCTTTCCCTGCCATAGGTGGCTGCAAAACTAGGACAGATTAAAAGGTCAAAGACATCACTTATAATGGTGCAGCATGAAATTCTCAAGCAGCTTTGCCTATCCATGAATAGACTGAGTTCCCACAAAAGTGGTGGATTTCTTCTGCTACCCCCAAAGATAGGAGACCTATGGAAGGGATTCCCATGTTGGAGGTTAGAACTGTTGACCACTACTGACCATCTAATCCCAAGGTTCTCTGATAAAGACCTTTGAACAGCTGTGGACAGACTATACTTGGAATACTTGGAATTCTGGTAAGATTCTGTCATTGCAAGAATAGGCAGACACATTTTATTTTCTAAGAAAGGATTTTTGAGCCTAAATTGACAAGACTATCCTATTTCATTATAATGGAAGATACACTATGCTTATGTTTCATTCTTTTTTCCTTTTTAATTAATGGATTTGCCTATTCAAAAACTTAATAAAATTATACATGAGGCTCTAAAACATC